AATATGCATTAGTATTCTTATTATTGTAGGTATATATATTAGAATTATTATTTTTATTATTATTGTTTAAAATTCTTAATGTTAGCATAATTATTAAATATATTAGTTAGTATTATTATTAGTCTTAGTAAAGATATTTCCAATAGAATTAGCACTAGCATTTCCCTATACTAAAAGTATCATTAGTACCTATTCAAACAGTATTAAAGTGATTAGTATAATATTTATATCAATTTTACGATTTCGGATTGACATTATTAATTTCCTGTATTTCCATCTTACAGAAAAAGAGCCGAGAGGAAAGCCATGGCGAAGGCAGCGGAGTTGAAATCATAATCAATGAGCCCTACAAAGATGGACCCGGAGGCAATGGGCAGTACACGAAAAAGATTTATCACGTGGGCAGTCACTTGCCGGGCTGGATAAAAAGTGAGTGGGTTTAGAGAGAGACTTCCTGGAGTGAACGAGTAGACAGAGATAGCTATATATGTATATTTGAGAGTATATATATATCGACTAAAAATATAATATAGTCTAGATCATATATGTATATATATTCTATAATATCTGTAAATAGAACCCTGTGCTGTGCCCTGTCTCAGGAACTAATAGAGCTTGAATCGTTGTCAGCTAATCAATCGATAATCGATAATCCTTATTGATTTGCAAGTTACCCCCTAGACYATGTCTAATTATATCTGTTTACTATTTGAAAAGTCAAGAAATATAATAGAAATTAAGTAATTTTTATATAGGACCAGTTGTGGAATAATATTTCTTATAATTTCCCTAGGCTTATTACCAAAGAGCGCGTTGACCGTTGAGGAGGAGGCATGGAATGCCTATCCGTATACGCGCACACGCTACACCTGTCCCTTTGTGGAGAAATTCTCACTGGATATCGAGACCTATTACCATCCGGACAATGGGTACCAGGATAATGTATTCCAGCTATCGGGTAGCGATCTGCGCAATCGCGTTGTGGGTGAGTCTCTCAAATCGAATTGTGATTGAGAAATTTTGATTGATTGACATTACTGTTTCTTCTTCTTCCTGTATTCCGGAAAGATGTGATTGATATTGTCAAGGATCAGCTGTGGGGCGGCGATTACGTGAAGGAGGAAGATCCCAAGTATTTTGTATCAGAGAAGACGGGCCGTGGCCCGCTGGGCGATGATTGGCTGGAGGAGTACTGGCGCGAGGTGAAGGGCAAGAAGCAGCCGACGTCCCGCAACATGTCCCTGATGACGGCCTATAAGATCTGTCGCGTCGAATTCCGCTATTGGGGCATGCAGACCAAGCTGGAGAAGTTCATACACGATGTGGCGCTGCGGAAGACAATGCTCCGGGCCCATCGCCAGGCCTGGGCGTGGCAAGACGAATGGCACGGCCTCACCATTGAGGACATACGCGAGCTGGAGCGCCAGACGCAGCTGGCTCTAGCTAAGAAAATGGGCGGAGGGGAGGAGTGCAGCGATGGTAAGCAGAGACCTTTGATAACAATATCGACAAGTCGTGCTAATCCCTCGATTATTCCATATTCACGACCCACAGACAGCACCTCGGAGCCATATATGAGCAGCGCCACCGCAGCCCCCGCATCGGGCACGAGTGAGCGCAAAAAATCAGCGCCGGCTGTGCCGCCCATTGTCACCCAGCAGCCGCCGAGCGCCGAGGCCAGTTCGGATGAAGACGATGAGGACGACGATGACGAGGATGAGGATGGCGTCGGCACCAATGTGGAGCTGGGTGCCCAAACCAGTGCCAATCAACGTTCCCGCTCCCAAAGCATTCAATTGGCCAACAAGGCCAAGTTCGGCTCGAAGGGCGCCCTGCATTCGCCCGTGGGATCTGCGCACAGCTTTGACCTGCAGGTGAGCAAGGCGCCATCGCAGCTGTCTACACCTGTTCAACTGATGCTGCACTCGCAGAGCAGAGCTACTGTTCATTGTCCCATCCAGTGTATACTCCATTGTCCTCTCACATTTGTTTTGGGATCTATGCCCATCCTCGATTGCATGGCAACAGATTTTTGTTGTGCCCAAACATCTCATTTGTCTATAGACATTGTCCACCCAATGCCAAGTCTGCAGTTGAAATACTCTATATATATATATATATATTTTCATAATGAAGCACAATTATCAGTTATTTTATCACCTGTTTCGTTGCTTATTAAACTGATAAACAAATGGAATTTGCATTGAATTCAAATTTTGAGTTTATTGGCTTTATGATTAGTGCAAATATTGAAATGCAAATTCGATCTACATATGTATGTATATGTGTGTTTCTTTGTTTCCTCTAACTCTCTGTGTGTGCGTGTATGTGTGTGTGTGTGTGATTCACCATATAAATAATCTTTGATTTGCTCTTGTCATACAAAATCAAATCCAATCAACAACCACCACAAAACACTCAACACCGAATACCGAATACCGAATACCGATTAAATGATATATGAAACGTAACCGACCCGATATTGAGCAGTCGAAAAAAGCGCATGCCAAGCCAGCAGTACGCCGTCATGTAAGTTGCGATCCAGCTCCAGCATTTAGGACCCTAGTTGACCACAATTACCGTATGAGAGCAGCTCAACTCCAGAGTTTCCAGTTGGGCAATTATTAATGATTACCTTTTGTGCTTTCCTAGGTGGCCAACTGGCGCATGGAACGTCTGGAAGTGGACTCCAAATCGAACTCGGATGAAGAGTTCTTCGATTGCTTGGGTGAGTCGCTCGATCTCGATCTCGATCTTCCGGCTCTCTATGCAGCTTCGATTAATGCTCGCACTTTGCAGACACAAATGAGACCAACTCGCTGGCCAAGTGGAGCTCACTGGAGCTGTTGGGCGAGGGCGACGACAGTCCGCCACCGCATGGCGGCAGCTCCAGTGGCAGCGGTGGTGCTGGCAGCGTGGCCGGGCGCCACAAGCAGGATGACAGCATATTCAATCAGGACTTTCTGATGCGCGTCGCATCGGAGCGTGGCAATAAGCGCCAGCTGCGCTCCTCGGCCAGCATCGATCGCAGTCACGACTCATCGCCGCCGGGCTCGCCGAGCACGCCCTCTTGCCCCACAACCATACTGATGCTGGTGGTGCACGCCGGCAGTGTTTTGGATGCGGCCAGTGAGCTGACCGCCAAGAAGTCGGACGTGACCACCTTCAAGGGCTCCTTCGAGGCCGTCATGCGCCAGCACTATCCCAGCCTCTTGACGCACTTGACCATTAAGATGGTGCCATGCCCTTCGATTTGCACGGATGCCCTGGGCATACTGTCGAGCCTCAGTCCGTACTCGTTTGACGCGTCGCCCTCGGCCGCGGACATACCCAATATAGCGGATGTGCCCATCGGAGCCATACCGCTGCTGGCCGTGGCCTCGCCCGAATTCCAGGAGACGGTGAACAAGACGGTGGCCGCTGCCAATATTGTCTATCATGAGTTCCTTAAGTCGGAGGAGGGCCACGGCTTCTCGGGCCAGGTGGTCATGCTGGGCGACTCCATGGGCTCGCTGCTGGCCTATGAGGCACTCTGTCGCTCCAACGGCAGCCAGCCGAATGCCGGCAATCCGTCGCAGGCCGCCGGCCACAGCCAAGCCGGCGGCGCTGGCGCTGGCGATTGTAGTCGCATGTCGCGCATGGATGACGATGAGCGCTTCATTGACTCCGACTTGGATGCGAAACGTTTGCTGGTGGCACCATCGCCGCGACGTCGTCGCTCCAGCTCCTCCAGCGATTCGCGTGCCACCAAGCTGGACTTTGAGGTCAGCGACTTTTTTATGTTCGGCTCACCGCTGTCGGTGGTCCTGGCCGCACGGAAGCTGCACGACTCAAAGACCGCCCTGGCCCGCCCCAATTGCCATCAGGTGTACAATCTGTTCCATCCAACCGACCCGATTGCCTCACGCTTGGAGCCCCTGCTGAGTGCACGCTTCTCCATTTTGTCGCCGGTGAATGTGCCGCGCTATGCTAAATATCCGCTGGGCAATGGACAGCCGTTGCATTTATGTGAGTAGACTCTCCCTCTCCCTCCCTCTCTCTCTCTTTGTCACATGAATTACAGTAACACATGATGTGTCTCTCTCTCTCTCTCTCTTTATCTAACATCACTCTCTCGTTCCTTTTGATGCAGTGGAGGTAATACAATCGCATCCGCAGCACTTTAACGACGGCAATAATTTGCTCTCTGCGGGCCGACGACTCTCCGATGCATCCATGCAGAGCACCATCTCGGGCCTCATTGAGAATGTCTCGCTCAGCACCATACACTCGCGTAAGTCCAAGCTCTTTAATGATCCTCCAATCTCTTCAACTGACTTCAACCACTTTCACATTGCAGTTCAGAACAAATGGTGGGGCACAAAGCGTTTGGATTACGCTCTTTATTGTCCCGAGGGGCTGAGCAATTTCCCGGCACATGCCCTGCCGCATCTATTCCATGCCAGCTATTGGGAGAGTCCCGATGTGATTGCCTTCATATTGCGGCAAATTGGCAAATTCGAGGGCATACCGTTTGTGGGCTCCCACGATGACAAGGACAACGCTTCGTTCCATCCGGGGCAGCCGCGTGAGAAGTGGATCAAGAAGCGCACGTCCGTCAAGCTCAAGAATGTGGCGGCCAATCATCGGGCCAACGATGTCATCGTGCAGGAGGGACGGGAGCAGCGATTGAATGCACGATTCATGTACGGACCGCTGGACATGATCACGCTGCACGGCGAGAAGGTGGACGTGCACATTATGAAGGACCCGCCGGCGGGCGAATGGACATTCCTCAGCACCGAAGTGACCGATAAAAATGGCCGCATCTCGTACACCATTCCCGACCATTTGTCTCTCGGCTATGGCATCTATCCGGTCAAGATGGTGGTGCGCGGCGATCACACGTCTGTGGACTGCTATATGGCTGTGGTGCCGCCGTTGACCGAGTGTGTTGTGTTTAGCATTGACGGCTCCTTCACGGCATCCATGTCGGTGACTGGGCGTGATCCGAAGGTGCGCGCTGGCGCCGTCGATGTCTGCCGCCATTGGCAGGAGCTGGGCTATCTGCTAATCTACATTACCGGACGGCCGGACATGCAGCAGCAGCGCGTCGTCTCCTGGCTCAGCCAGCACAATTTTCCCCACGGCCTGATTTCGTTCGCCGATGGCCTATCCACCGATCCGTTGGGCCACAAGACCGCCTATCTCAATAATCTCGTGCAGAACCATGGAATCTCAATTACCGCCGCTTACGGCAGCAGCAAGGATATTAGCGTGTACACCAATGTGGGCATGCGGCCGGAACAGATCTTCATTGTGGGCAAGGTATCCGAACTCCTACCGATCTCTCTTCCTACCTATATAGTAAGATACTAATAATATCCCATCTGCCCAACAGGTGGGCAAGAAACTGCAATCGAATGCCACGGTGCTCAGCGAGGGCTATGCCGCCCACTTGGCTGGCCTGCAGGCCGTCGGTGGCTCCCGTCCGGCTAAGGGCAATGCGCGTATGGTCATTCCGCGCGGCTGCTTCAATCTGCCGGGACAGTCGGCAAATCCGCGACGCAGAAGGTAGGTGCTCCCTCCCTGTTGCTCCGCGCTGCAGGCCCTCGATGGCGGGTGAGACGAGACTCCCTGCTGCACTGGCCGAGTCTTGTGTCATCTCTCAATGTAAATTGTACATATGTATGTGTATGTGTATGTGTTAGTCCTAATCGGCGAAAATCATTCTAGAAACTCTAATTGTATTCTAAGTATTTGGTGTTTTGTGCATCTTTATTTATTATTTGTGTATTATTATAATTTTAAGTTGTTTGTTAACTACTTTATTTGCTTACGCCTATGTTTGATTGTTTACTTTAAATGTTGTCTTATGTTTGAGCCGCCGAGACGGCGCATGCTCAGCCCGTCATCCGTCCGGTGCTGACCTAACCGTATACATATTTCTAAGTCTGTGTCCTGTACAACAATAACGCCTTTGTCCTGGCCATGTGAAAAGTCGTTTGTAACTCAGCTAACTATATTCGAGCCAAGCTCTATCTGTCTCTCTCTCACACACACCGCGGAGTCACTTAATCATACCTCATATCTCCTTCCAAATGCCTTCAACCATCCACCCAATATCCATCGATGATTTGAATGATCAGCAATGCGTTCGAGGTGCCACAGCTCCCTGGCACGCCCATCAGCAACAGCCTTGGCCAGCTGAACGAGGGCAAAGAGTGGGACTGGAGTGACTCTGCAGCTGTAACACCCGATACCTGATACTTGACATCACCCCGCTGCCCCGCTGCCCCTGACCAACCGTCCTAGACACAAAACTTTGCCTAGTCGACCAAAAGAAAATGAAAAGTGAAAATTATATTTTATTTTGTTATTAAGTTATTTGATAGTTGAAATGCCGTATTATCATATATGCTAAGTTCTAGTATTATATTGTTCTTATTTTGATAAATGTGTATGAATATCTTTATATATATATGTATATATATGTATTTATTAGTGCTTTTTATATTATATGATTTGGATTGATATTATTGTTATTGTAATTAATGCGAACAAAACTGAAAAAATCTGTTGAAGAAAAAAATAAACCAGGGACGAAATCTAGCCAAAAAGCAACAAGCACACATACGTATACGTGKATTTAGACACAAATTATATATATCGCAAATATATATATGTACAATAAAAATGCTTAACTACCCATTTAGTATTTGTATACATACATATGTATATTTCATAGAATATAATTTCGAATTGTATCTTTTCTTTGATTGTTTCTTGATTTGTGATAATCAACGCTTAAACCGCTTACCGTCACACGTCACGCCCACCCCCTCGCCGTTGATGCGATCTGCACACATAAACACACACACACAACACACGTATACCAATCCACACACATACCACACACTCGCTGTCTCGCACACATTCACCCACATACCCAATCCGATTATAATATATATATATATTGTGAATGTGTGTATATCAATACAGGCTGCATGAACAAGCTACCAATGAAGTTTAAAAACGTTTACCAACACTGTAGATATGCAACACCGTGATGCATTAGATAAAGCGTTATAAAACCAAACACAAAAAATTAAACAGAGACAAGAAAGAAGAAAAAATCAAAGGCAAATATTAAATGCAAATTTGGTGTATAGCGTTCGTAAATTAATATATTTAGTTGAGTTGATCTGTTTGATATGCTTTTAATGCATTTTAGAGGAGCATTGTGTTATTCTGTGCTCTGGCTGCAAACAGAAATGAAAAGGAAAAGAAAAAATATAGTATTTATGCCTAAAATTGGAAAAAACGCCATCAACTGAAATCTTTCTCAACTTTTCCTCTGTCTCTTTTTTCACAAAAAAAAAAAAAAAAATCCCTCCTTATGAAACTTTATTTTACAAACATTTTCGCATTGAATCTACACAAAACCCCAACACACACACATACACACACACGAACATGCCACAAATGCATCGTCAACTTGACATCGTTTCAAATGTGCAGCAATGAGACGGGCCTATCATCGCCGATACGCAGCGGCTATCTTAAACGCAAAACCTACCTGAGCCATCACTAGATCGATCCCAGCAGAGGAGCAACCTAACAGAGAGCGTCATAATAGACAAGCGATAGAGAGAGATAGCGAGAGCGTGAGCTTAGAGACAAATGTGTGCGTGATGAGTAATGCATTTTAGTTTATAGCATATCGATGTGCAAAACTATCGATTAATATAACGCAACCAGCAACTCCCACAAATACAAGCCATGCAACTAGCAATCAACTATATTTATAATAATAAATAAACCAGCATATACCTATCAAACAAAACGCTTCGTACATGTTTAGATGACATCTAAACATACTATTGGATCAGCATTAGTTGCAGTTTAACAACAACAACAACAATAGCAACAACAACATCTCAGCATCTGCAACATCTGTGTATATACATAAAGCCCGTTATATTATGCGCAATATATAGCCAACTACATAGTATATGGTGTATATACAATATACAAGATACAAAAAAAATATATATATATACATGAAAAATTCCAAAAATTATAAAAAAAAAACTAAATCAATTGTACAACATATAACAAAAGTCAAATGTGTCACGCGGTAAGTAAATATCGATTGCAGCTAGCTGCAATTACCGTTATTTATAGTATGAAGTCAATCAATAGGAGAAAACTTTCTAGCTTGTTTATTCAAATGAGTTAAGATTTAATCAATATTAGAGTATTAGCATAGCTGGGATAGAGTCTCGAAATCGTTTATTATTCACCGCTAGCTTAGTTCAAGATATTTGGAAAATAACTAAGAAAAAATATTAGTTATCGAACGAATCGAAAATTGAAGATCTAATTTTTCGACTGATGCTTATTTTAAGATCAATTCAGGGAGATATATGCCATAGTAGAAATAACGAAATTTTTTAGTCGTAAATCAACTGAAAATTGAATTCCTATAGAGATAGATGAATACGGATGATCAATTAGAAATGAGGATTGTTTTTTTTTTTTTTTTTTTTTTTTTTTTTTTTTTTTTTTTTTTTTAGAATTATAAATATGAACTCAAGGGAATAATATTTGTAAATGAAACGGACTTTGGACAGAACATCTTATGACATTATATAAATACTGATACTAGTATGGCAAATAATTGGAGCTTTATATTACAAATTTAGGTCAAACAGTTTTGTTTGCTTTACCAGAAAAAATGTACTCATATTGTATATAATTGAAAATATATAGTAATTGTAATTTCCTTTCATATCTATTTCTCAGGTACCTGGAAAGAAAGACTGTTTCCTCCTGTTGTTTGATGGTTTTTCAAACCACATAAAGAGTAAAAACAAAAACAAATCACACAAAATTAATGAAACAAAAAAGAAAAGAAAATAATTAATGAGCAGCTTATATATATATACAAATAAATATGTATGTGTGGGCACCTATGTATATGTATGTAGTATGTGAGCTTATATGCTATAATTGTATAACAAAAAACAAAGTCAACCCATACATATATACATATATATTTAAACCGTTTAACATACATATGAAAATAATAATAATAATAAAAAAAAGAGAAAACAAAACAAAGCGAACAAAGTTCAATAAATGTGGTATAAAAACATGAATGTTGATAACAATTGAAGCTAAGTACAACTTGCAGTTGGTAATACAAGGAGATCTCGCTCAGAGAACGGCTCTATGTAGCTCGCAGAGGTAAAAAGCGTTGCAAAATCAAATAACAAATTCAATGCATTTCCAAAACCAAACAAAACAGTATAAATACATAAAATATATATTGAAATTGCTTCTGAAACAATTATTAATTACTCAACAAAGATTCTATTTCTATAAAT